GAACGCCAACCCGCGGCTGCTTTACAGTCGCGCGTTTCTTTTTGCGAGTCGGCTGTTCACATTCGAGCCGAGCGAGGGCGTGCCCGAGAATTCTGTCCTGCAGCTCGCGGATGCGGACTACTTGGTGCCACTAGACGCGCGCTTCGTGATCGCGCAAGTGGTCTTCGATCATGTAGTTTTGTTCGACCTCCGTGACGGCGTGCAGATGGCGCAGCTCGCCTTCAGTTGGCCCGTGCGCGACCTGCAGTTCGACCGCCACCGGCTGTACGTGCTGGGCGGCCACGGCGGCGCAGACACGCAGCTGACGAGCGTAGAACTGTTTCACATGGCGAAACGCGAAACTGTCACCGCGACCTCGCTCTCTGAAAAGTTCTCCGCATTCATCGGCAACGTGCAGATCAAGCGCACAAGCGAACTCCGCGTGTTCGCCTCGACTTTTCTGGCACGCAACTGCACAGTTACCGAGCTGTTTTTGCCCTACTTCAACAGCGGCCGCTTTCCGCGCCCGCTGCTAGGCGTAAGTTCGCTCTGCGCGCACGCAGTTTTCTTCGCTGGACCAGCAGCTCGTGTACTTTACGCCGGATGTGCTGTGCCCGTCGCGCGGAGATAAGGACGAAGCGTCGCGAAGCGCGGTGCCCGCCGATCCGCTGTGCAAGCCGCACAAAGCGTTCGTGGAACCGCACTTCGTCGCGGCGCTGTCGCCCGGCGGCCGTCTGCACTGCAAGCCCGTCGCGGGCGCATTCGAAAAATGCACTGTGCAAGACGGAGAAAAAACGCTTTTAGAGTTCGCGAACCCGACGGTAAGTTGCGCGCCACACGAGGCAGAACCCCCATCAACTCGAGAGCGCCGCGCAGCAGCGCGTGCCGCTGGCGGCGCTTGTCACAGCTTTCGCGCTGCTCGCCTGGTTTTGGCGCGCGCGCTTTGCTCGGCTGCGGCTGCGCAAGAAGCTGTGAGCGCCTACGAGCTCAGCTGCACCACTTCGCGCACGTTCGGCGACGTGCTCTCGCAGAGCAACGACTGCAGCGCCGCCTTGCAGCGCGCGACCGTGCTCGCGTCCAGGTTGTTGTAAAGCGTCAGCAGCTTCGAGGTGCTGGCTGCGGTGTACGGGTTGACGCGGTCGAACGCGCGGATCTGTTCTGCGACCAGCGCGTAGCCGCGCTCGCTCGCGTGGTGCAACCCCATTAGGTTGCGGCAGAAGGTGCCCACGACTGCGCGGAAGCGGTTCGGGTTCGTGTTGTGCAAAAACGCAGGGTGCTTAGTGAGTTTCTCGAAATCGCCGAGCACTGCAGCGTCAGCGCGCAACAGTTGGATCGCGAACCACTCGTCGAGCATTACGATGTCGTTCATGCAGTAGGCGTACATTTCGTTGATTATCGTTTGGCGCTGCGGTACAGACGCGGGCCACTCGACGGCGATGCGGAACGCAGCCTGCTTGTCGTTGTAGTTGCCGCTGTTGTTGTCGTTGCGGCGGAATCGACTTAGCACGCGCGCAGCAATTTGCTCCGCCTGCGCTGGCTCGGTGCGCGCGTCGATCACGCTGATCGCGGCAAGCGCGCGGTTCGCGATGAGCCGGTTGCGCATTGCTTCGAGACTCGGACACCAGCGCGCGCTCGCAACCAGCGGATCGTACTTCGCGTAGAACTGGACCATTTCCTCGTGCAGCGCAGAGTTCAGCGCCCGTTTCACGCGCACGCACGCAGTAGCGAGCACTAGCGGCGCGGCGTCCGTGACGAACGCCTGCATGGCCATCGGCGTCGGCGTGTCTAGACAGTAAACCAGGAACCGCAGGTCGTCGGCGTTTGCAATGAAGCTCTTCAGCGCCTCGACTGTCGTCGGCTCCAGCGCGTCGCACGCGTTCTCGGCCGCCACGAAGCGCAGCACTTCTTTGCGCAAAATGCTCTGCACTGCTTCGAACACGTTAAAGTAGTCGGAGTCGTGCGTCATCAGGAAGCGAATCTCGGCGTCGCTCAGGAACGGTTCGATCAGCACGGGCGCGCTGAACTTGCGCGCCAGCGAGACGACGCAGTCTTCTTTGACGTTTGCGAACACGAACTCTTGCTGCTCCTCGGTTAGTAGACAGATCTTTGTACGCTCCGAGAGCACGTCTTGCTTGCTGTGTTTGCCGATCAAGCCAACGGCAACCGGGATGGGGTAGCAGCGCTTCGGTGCGACGCCCTGATCGGGTACCACTTGTTTGAGCGTTAGCGAGAACTCTTGCGTGAAGCTGTTCCAGCGGCGCGCAACTACCTGCAGCCGCGGCGTGCCCTTCTGGTCGTACCACACCGCGAACTGGCTGAGGTCGACGCCGGTCGCTTCCGAGAGCGCCTGCCGGAACGTGTCGCAGGTCACTGCTTGTCCGTCGTGCTTCGAGAAGTAGTGGTCCGTGCCTTTGACGAATTGTTCCATGCCGAGCAGCGTTAGCATCATGCGGATCACCTCTGCGCCTTTCTCGTACACCGTCATCGTGTAGAAATTGTCGATCGACTCGTACTGCTTCGGCTGGATCGGGTGCGCAAGCGGGCCCGCGTCTTCCGGAAACTGGTAGTTGCGCAGGTCCTGGATCTGCGAGAGACGCATCACCGCTTCGCCGTAGGTGTGCTGGTCAAACAGTTGCTCGCGCAAGTTAGTGAAACCTTCTTTCAGCGTGATCTGGAACCAGTCGCGCACCGTCACGCGGTTGCCACTCCAATTGTGGAAGTACTCGTGACCGATCACCGAATTGACTCGCACGAAGCGCTGGTCTGACGAGTGGTCCTTGTGAGCCAACAAACAGCTCACGTTGTATGCATTGAGCCCCTTGTTCTCCATTGCGCCCGCGTTGAAGTCCTCAATGCAGATCACGCTGAAGCGCTGCAGGTCGTACACGCGGTTCATCGCCTGGTAGTCCCACGTCATCGCGTTCTTGATGCACTGCAAACTCCACTCGAGCTGCGGCAAGTAGTTGCGCTCCGCGTACACGTAAATGTCGACCTTCTGGCCTTCGGCCGGGCCGGCCGGGTACACGTACTTGTCCTGCAGAGACTCGAGCGGGCCGGCGAAAATGCCGAACAAGTAGCACGGCTTCGGGTGGTGGTCGTTATAGGTGACGAAATGCCGGCCGTTCGGCAAGGTGTCATGCGCCACAATGTTTCCATTGCTGATGAGTGTCGGAAAGTGCGTGGTCGAGCCGATGAGCGTCGTCTTGAAAGTTGACAAGTTGTCTGGCCGGTCGATGAAGAACGTGATGCGCCGGAAGCCTTGCGCCTCGCATTGCGTGCACAACAAATTCTTGGACTTGTACAACCCGCTGAGCTTTTTATTGCGCGCCGGGAAACAGCGCGTCACCGTGTGCAATTCGAAGTGATCGGTCAACAGCTCGCCTTTCACGCTCAGCGTGTTCGCGGCCATGTTGTACTCGTAGTCGCTCGACGTCAGCGACTTCCCATTCAGCTTCACGCTCACCAGCTCAAGCTCGTCGCCATCCAGCACTAGCGGCTTGTTGTGCGCGCCACTGCGCGTCACCTGCAGCGACGAGCGCACAACGGTCGTTTCGTAGTCTAGTTCGCACTCCAAGTCTATGTGTCTGATGCAGTACGCGGGCGGCGTATAGTCCGAAAGCTTGACCACCGTGCTCGTTTGTCGCGTAGCCAGCGGTTGCTGGTCTGGATCGCCGAGGAAGCACATTTTGCTAATCTTAAATAATATTATAAGACGCGCAGCATGCTTTTTCTCGCTGCCAAACGCGCGACCGCTTTGTGCGACAGCGCCAGATGCGCCCGCGGCGCTAAGCTTTTGCAATTTCATATCCAGGCCAACTCCAGACCTGAGCGCGTTCCAAGTCATTCAGATTCCCATCGTGCGGTGCATTGATGCACTCGGCGAGAGTGACAGTAGTCTTGTTTGCGGTTAAACACTTGCCGTCGGCAGTCTGTAGCCTCACACCGACAGAGAAAGGTTGCACGTCGAACTGGTTCTCGCGTAAAAAATGGCACCAAGACCCGTTTTCGAGGTCTGAGCTCGACAAACACGCCTCGTCGTTCACGACTGGCATCACGAATTTCGGCCTTTTGAAGTACATGAACTCGTCGCCGCGCGTTCCCAGCGAGTAGTGCTGCGCGGCAGGGCTGTACGCGTCGCGCACTTCCAGGTAGAGCTGTGTGCCCAAGTTTTGCAGTTTGCCGAGGTAGGGCACGTCGTTAGCATCGCGCACAAAGCTCTCCGGCCACACATTATTCAAGTACCAAGAGAAGCTCTTGCACCGCTTGCGCTTCCGTAGCTCCTCGATCTCTGAAATGTCCCCGTAGTCGGCACGGCGTCCAAGACCCGAAGTTTTTAGCGCCAAATCTTGGAACTCGTCCATCCAGCCGTGGATCAACCGCAGTTTGTTTCTCGACAACGAGTGCTGCGGTGAAGAGTACGCGGAGCCGCCTGAGCGGAACATGTGGAACACGCGGCTGCAGCGCGAACACTCAATGCGGCCACCGCACATCCAGGTTCGGAACGAGAGTTCCAAGTTCTCTGCACCCCAGCCGCTGAACTTTCTGTCGTAGCCACCGAGCTCGTTCAAGAAGAAGTTTTTGTTTGCCGCGAAAAGTCCTCCTGCCATGGTCGGCGAAGAAATGTAGTCCGTCGGATTCGACGACAATCGAGATTCCAGCGTGGTTTCCTTGAAGTCGTGAGGCGAATACGCGTGTTCCATCATTTTCCAGATGAACCCCAGCGTACATCCAATGCCTCCCTTGCTGTACTGCAGCGTGGCGTTGTTTAGCCCGTCGATAGCGGGCATCACAATGGAATCTTTGTGCTGTGAAATGCGCGACGTCAGTGGCTCTAGCCACTGTTGCTGCACTTCAATGTGACTGTCAAGAATGACGAAGATCGGCGCTGACGCGGCTTCGATGCCCGCGAGCCGTGCGCCTACAATTCCTCGACGGACAGCACTGCGGATGAGCTTTGTCTTCGGCAGTTGTTGCACGTATCGGTCGAGGAAGCCATTCTCCGCGCTGAGGTGCGCAGCTGTGCTGGCGTCGTCGACGAGAATGACTTCTTTTAATAAGCTCGGCGGCGTGAGGTTTAGCACTGAGTGGACGCTGCGCAGTAGCATACTCAACCCTTCGTTATGGAAGATGATGATCACGCTCACAGGGTCGAGTGCGTCGTAGTCGTAGTGCTCGTCACGGCAACTCGGGTCCCGGAAGTCAGACGGAATTCGGTTGAGGTCTGTTTCATCGCTTAATTTCATGTTAAAGCCGCCACCCAAACTTAATAGCGTGTTTATGTCGTGGCTGCTGACGTGCGCATAGTCGCCCGAAGGAATAATTTTAGAGCCGTCGACTGTGATGTCGAGCACGCCGTGCATTGGGAAAGAGCTGAATAGTTCAGACAAACTCCGAGCGCTCGGTCGGTGCGCGTCCTCCGTTTCGATGTTGCCCGAGGCGAACTTCTTGGGTGTGATCACTTCCTTCATTACGCGAATTTTTTGCTGCGCTTCGCGGATCAGTCGGTTTGAAGACAGCGCAATCTCGTTGTCAATGAGCTTCGGCAAGATCAGTTTGTAAAACAGAAACCCACAGACGTTGATGCTGATGAGCACCAGCAGCATTATCGCGGTTGTGAACAAGCTGTGGTGCGGACGGCGCCGTTTCAATTTTCCGTTTCCCGCGGAGAAGGTGTGAGCAGAAGTTGCTCTACGTCTGACCCGGTTCTCGCTCATGATCGGCTGCCGATAGTGTGATCAGCTTGCGCCTGCAGACGTTCGCTAATTATATTTACAGGGCGAAAAACATTTAGCCGTTAATCGTTGGAAAACATTTGCATGACGCTAAACGCGCACCTGATCGCGCGGATTTCAATTGCGAACTAGCATGTCGGTGACCGCTTTATTCACTTGCGGCACAAACAGTCCGTACAACAGCTCAGGCGGCGTCAGCTGTTCCTCGTCATCGAGCGACCGACAGGGCCGTTCTTTGAGGCTCTCGCGGAGGGCGTCGGTGCCTGCCGCCGCTCTCGGTTTGACTCGAACTAGCCGGTCGACTGTGTCGCAAAAACACATGATTCCGTAGAAGGAGAACATTGTGCCACTCAAAACAAATGCGTAGAACTAAACATGTGAGCGTGTTTTTAGTTTACTTAAAATGTTTACATTGACGGCTTACGCGCCGCGTCCATATTTTCGAGTTTCTTCGCTAGCTGCTGCTTTAGCGTATTCGTGAGCTCTAGAGTCGTTTGTATCGCGATTTGGCGGTTTCGCACTGCCTCTTCGTCGTCAGACGCAATGTCGATATTAGCAGAACCTATTTGCAATTTTTTCAACATCTGCAAGACTTGCTCGGGGTTGGCAGCGTCCAAGATCCCGTTAGCACTGCGGTCGAGATTCGTGTGCGCAATGCTCTCTTGGATAAGGTGGTCCACCACGCGCATGCGTTGGTGGAGCTCGTTCGGCAAAACAGCATCTGAGTTCGCACGCTGAGTCTCCGAGTCTGGCGCGCGGTCTGTGCTGGCGTTTTGACCGACTTCGCGAACTGCGCCGTCGCGCCACTCTGTTTTGCGCTGATTTGCCTCAGGGTTCCAGTCTACAGCTTTTTGCGTTCCGTCCGCGCTTCCGAGCAAATAGGTGACCGCTTTGGACACGGCGTCATCGTAACGAAGCTGTTGTTCATTTGGCAACGCGGCAGGCGCGTTAGTCGGTTCTGCCGCCACGCTGAGCGAGTTTTCCGACGGAGCGTTCTGCTCAGGTGCGTCGACATTCCCGCTGCGAACCTCGGCTGAAACAAAGTTAACAGCGCCAATTTCTGGCTGCGCGACAATGTCAGATTCGGAATTCGCCGCATCTGTTTCCTCCATGAACAGCTCTTGCGCGATCGGAGCCGAAGTCGGGCTAAAAGGCTCATGCGAGTCTGCGTGCTGCAGCATAGGATACTCTGCAGAATCCTGGTATGGATAGACGATCTGCGGTGATTCTTCTACTGCATCCTGGCGGACGCCAACAGAGGCGGCGTTGAGCCCATCGTTCATGAGTGCTATTGTTGCGCCTGAAGCCGAAGATGGATTTACAGGTTTCACTAAAGTACTATTCTGCTGTTTCAAGGATTCTGCGAGTGCTTCGGGGATCAAGAGTGTGTGCATGGAACCCTCCGTCGAATTTGAGTTTGCAACAGCGTCGTGGGGCGGCAGCTGTTCGTTTTCCTCGCCGTTTCCTGGAGTCGAGGAGCTGCGCATGGCCTCTAACAGCTTGAGGGCCTTCTCGTTATCGACTTTGCGAGCAAGAGTCTTCTTCCGCTTTGTCTTCAGCGTGAAGAGCTTGGTCAAGTAGAGACGTTCCTCCTCTTCAGAATGCTTAATGCGCTCCTTCGCATTCACCATGCAGTCGAATTCGTAGAAAGCTATGAGCACGGCGAACAGACTGAGTACCATGAAGCCTGCGTGTACAAGCTGAAATAAGCGGAAGCCGAGGAAGCGATGCTCATTATTCACGGCGAGCGACTCTGGCAGCAAGAAGAAAGGGTGCTGGAGCTTGCGCATTAGGTTGGGGTATAGAGAGCAGACGAGTCCAGAAGACAGTAGAATCAAACCCTGCATAATATTGAGGTGATTTGCGCCGAGGTATTCCTCGATAGCGCAGTAGATGTAGTTGTAGCCGAGAAATCCGACGAGGAAGTGGCCGCAAATAGGCAAGATCTGTAGATAGATGTTTGGCATAATGAGGCAGGCGAAGCTGAAAGACATGACTAGCGCAATGAAGGCTGAAATCAGGACTGACGAACTCCGCATCGCGAAGCGTGTGAGCAAGACGTTTGGCGCAAACGCGAAGCAATGCGCGACGTTAAGCAACTCGATTAGAAAGTTGGCGTGTGCCAAAGAGTTTTTGTTCAGAGAGGCATAAGCTGTGATTGTAAATCGGAAAGAACTTAGCAAATGGTACTGAGAAATTTGAAAGATGTTTGCGTGGAGCACGATGATCCAAAGCAGAGGGTTGAAGATTTTCTCAATGGTGGTTTTGTCGCTTAAAGCGTGCGCAGACGGGAACTCGCGGATTGAGACGTACTTGCAGATAGTCTGCACGCAAGGCAGCTGCATGAGGTAATTCGTGATGCGATGATCCGTCTTCGGTTTGTTAGCCATTTCCGCGAGGTAGTCTTCGTCAGCTTTTTCCTCGAACGGCTGAGACGGCAGCAGAGCGGTGTGCAGCAGCCCGAAGAACAGCAGCGTCAAGATGTAAAATTGCATGACCTCCTCGACGGGATTGTTGCGGCGCGACTTAGCGAGCGCCATCGCTAACCAACAGTACAGCATGACGCAAGAAAACTCGGCTGCAGATCCTAAAAAGTCTTGGACGAACTCCGAGTGAACGGGAAAGATGCTGCTAATGTGCAAATAAGCATAACTGAGCTGGTTGTACGCGAGCGCGTGCGCAACGATCCCAATACTTGTGATCAAACTGTTGGTGCCCGTAAAAAGTAGTAAGTAGCCGAGGGCGGCTAACACAACGCCTTTGATGGCCAAGAAGCGGGGGTTGCCGTAGTCCGTGAAAAAATTGCTAAACGGCAAGCTAGCGGGACCCATGAAGAAAGCGCGGTTCGTGAGATTGTTTACGTACTCATGATAAATGACTGTGTTCTCTGATAAGCTTTTGCCGCTGCGGTTCAGAAATAGTAGGCGCCGGAAAACGTCGACATTCGACAAATTGCATCCAGAGTAAACAGTGAAAGCCCCATAAATTGCAATCAAAGTAGTCTTAGAGAGGCCGAGGGTCGTGCGATAACCTAAAGTCATTGTTCCCAAAGTGCACTGCACTCACGTGTTAATTCGAAAGTATTATAAAAATTTGGCGCTATTTATGCCCCAACTTAGCTCGATTACCAGCGCGATTGGCGCGTCTGCGGCGGATAGCTGTTCTTCCTTGTTTAAAGTCGGGTCTGACACGCTGGGGCGAGCGGCTGGCGTCGCGCGCTGCGCTAAGTTCGAAGGGCGCAAGTTTCTTGGCTTCTACAACCGGTACTGGCTCACGAACGAGCTGAGCAGCGGCAAGCTGCGCTCCATCTTCAGTGTGCCCGCTTTTCAGCCGTGTGTGCTGGGAAGCAGCCAGCTGGAGGAAATCGTAACAAAGGATTTCACAGTTTTATGTAAAACCCGGCACCCAAGCTTTTTGGCTGTAAGCGAACCGCCGAGTTTCGGGAAACGCGGCTGCGTCGTACGCGCGCGTGGCGTGGTGGGCACCGTCGCGGACGCGGCGAAGCGCCTCGGCGCGCTGGATCTGTTCTGCGGGGTGTGCGTCGCAATTGAAGGGCTAGAGTTTCTGCACAGCAGACAACGGCTTGCGCACCTCAACGTAAATCCGTTCTCGTTGCTGCTCGCAGACAACGGCCAGTGGCTGTTGTCGGGGCTAGGTTTCAGCACAGAGCTCGGCGCGTCGCTGCCCGCAGGCGGCGCGCCGGCCGTGTGCGCGCTTGGCGCAGACTACACAGTATCGCTGCAACCGCCGCAGACGTACCGTAAGCCGGGGAGCCGGACTGCTGAGTCGCAGCTCGACTTTTTCGCGTTAGCGGTTTCGGTGTACGAGTTAGCGCTGATCGCGTTCGATGTGAGCCGCGCGGAGTGGCCGGCGTGCTTCCTCGGCGAGAGCCGCGACATTTCTTTCGTGTACAATCCGGAGTCGTTTGCGTTTCCGCGCTCCTTTCCGCCGCAGCTGAGTCTTGCATTGCGTTTTTTGCTGACGAACGAGGTGGCGCAGGCAAAGGCGGCGCTAAGCGAGTTCGCCCCGTTCGCGCTGCTGGAACCAAGCAGTCTGCAGTTCGCTACGCAATCGGACCGCGAGAGTCTGGCCAGCGTGCTGGTGGCGATGAGTAACAGCAGTGCGCTCGAGAAAGCAACGACCGAGCTTGCACTGCACTGGCTGCTGCCGTGCGTAATGGACTGTTTCTACGACTGCAGTGTGAAAACACAGATGGGCTTGCTGCAACAGTATGGCGTGCTGATGGCTACGGACGGCGAAGCGTTCCGGCAGTTCGCGGCGCCACTATTGCGGCACTACATGAGCGACGTAAACTGCTCGGTAGTTGTCGCTGTAAAGCTGGTATGTTGGCCCCGCTCGCGCTTAGCTAGAAATTCTAAACGCGTCGCTGCCCGTTGTGAGCGCTGATGCGGACTTGGCAACTGCGTTCTTGGTAAAGTGCATGGACATTAATAGCAGCATTGTGGTGAACACGGCGTACAACGTCGCGCAGAAGGTAGGTTACGAGTACTGCGCCGCAGATGTGCAGTCTGACTCAGTGCCGCGACGTGTTGCAGGCGCACTTTTTCAAAGTGTGCAACAGCAAAGGCGTGCGCGTGGACATGCGGCAACACGCGTTTCGCGCGCTC